ATAAATCATTAAAAAATTCTATTGTAACAAATGTTTTTAAGAAATGTGAAATCAAAGTATGATAAAAATTGTTTTTTTTTTCTTAAAATACCTTTTTTCCTTATTTATTTTCTGTTTGTATTTCTTTCATCGCAAATTAATTTTTAATTAACATTAAGTTATCACCAAAGCAATAACAATTTTCTCACAATAATATACATATATTTTCTTTTAACAACAAATAAAGCTTTTAATAAATTTTTAGAAGAAACAAACGGAATGACTTTGTATAAATATAATAAGGGATTGCTTTCTGAGAAATTCTGCTTTTGCTTTAACAATTACTTGGTCACAGTGAATAAGTATCCCTATTTTGAGTACCCATCTTTTATATATCAAAGTCACGATTGTCGAAGCGGTATAAGTTTTTGTGAAGATTTGCTAAAAATAAATTGAAAGCTTCGTTTTCTAATGGTTAGAGAAAAATATGTTGCAAAAAAATTATCAATCATTTTGATGACAGCTTAAAGTTTGTTCGCGTCATGGTTCAACATACTCTAACATGTTACACTACTTATATAGAAAATAAAATATTAATTTTAACTTTAAGACGTATAGACTGGAATTTCTAAGAAGACATGCAAAAATGTTAAAATTAACATTTTTCTGTTAATTTTAATATTTTTGCTTGTTTTAGAAAGTCCACTGTATGTTTTTAAGTTAAAAGTAATATTTTATTTTTTACAGTGATATCGTAGCTTCTACTTGATACACATACGACGCAAATAAATTTTTAATGATAAAAAAATGTGTAACAAAATACACAAAGACGAAAAAAGAACTTGTTACTACAAATTAAAAAAATAAAGAGAGATTTTTGTTTCACATTTTTTAAAACGTTTGTTATAGGAAAATATTGTAAAAAAAAGAGGAAGGCTTTATTTCGAAAGTCATTATTCATCATTTTTATGTTTCAAGCAAAAGTTTATCTTATCTCTTGAGTTTCTTTGATTTATAGGGGTAAAATTTGTTAAAAATGTTGTAGATATCAAACATATAATGTTGAGTGTTAAAATATTTTTGTACAACTTCATGCTATTATCGTTGTATTGTAATTGTAATTGTTATTACAATCATTACTATAAACATTGCAGCAAAAAGTACTTTTATATCGCATGTAAATACGATTACGTGAGAGAATGGTTGTGTTTTATATACATATGTATACCTACTTGTAATAAGTGCAAAAGGTATTCGTATACGGAAAATATGTTCTTTTCTTTTTAAAACTTTATTTTTAGAAAATAAATATTAATTAGCAATTTATTAACAAAAATAACATAGATTGTATATATTTTTAAATTATTTTATATAAAATAATATTTAATGATTAAAAAATATATTAATAATAACCGAGAATAAAAAATTGTATTATATAGATGTGTATAAAAATTATTTATACAATTTGAGAATTTTAGCTTTTAAGATTCTTGAATACGGTTATTTCGTGAAACTTTTTTGTTTTAGGTATATTAGAACAGATATCAAAATTTTTAAAAAGATGTTTCTTCTCCGTACAAATTTCGGCTTGTTTAGCAAGAGCTGCCATTCAGTCAGCTTTCTTTAGATTTCTAGAAAAACGCCCTCTTGGAACACCGGAAGTATGTAACCCCTGAAAAACGAATTTTTATCTGCATCTGCAGTCAGTCTTTTGACTAACCATCATAACAGTGTTCAGTTCAGTATCATAGGTGTTCTAGAGAGGTATTTAGTAAGAGCAAGTCGGAGGGAGTAGTCTTTTAACGCGTGATACAGAAAGTACGTGGTGCAAATTATAGTTAACAAGTCAGAGCATTTTATATTTCTTCGTGATTGTAACGGAAATATGCTATGCTAACTTTGCTGTAGTTGAAAGTGTGACCTTTTTTCATAAAAATGATAGGCTAATATATGAGCCGGTAATTGCGGATATTTGTGCTGATATCTACAGTGTCTGTTTGTATTACGACATTATCTCCATATAACTTATACTGTGATTGAAGAGGATTTGAGAAAAAATTGAAACGTTCCGACCACATATTATATCTCTTGCGATTTAAATTTTTCCAAAGCGAGACGATTTTTATTTCGCAGACATGATTCTAGATATAGTAAGTTGAATATTTAAATTTCAATATTTAAATCTAGCAATTTAGGATAAATAAAAAATATACAAACACACACACTTCGGACGTCCACATTATTATTATTATATGAAAGTCTAAAGGTTGTCGCATATCATTAAACACGCATGCCACACGTGTGTCTCAACAGAATAAGATACACTACACATGTTATTTCAGAATAATCGGGAGATATTTGATAGTCGAGAAATAAAAAAAAGTTGCAACATTCACATCGATAAGTTTCAGAAAAATCAAATTTCGGATAAAAATTGCAGAGATTCTTGTCTGTAATTTTTGAGTGCTTGAAACTCATCGAAAGTACGAGTTCGTTTGGGAATATACTCGTATATTCAAATACTCGATTTTTTAAAAATTATTTTAAGCGATCCTCAGTTCTATCGAAAGGAAAAAAGAAATTCGGAAGATTTGGAATACCTGCCAGATCGGAACTATGTGTTCTTTAATCGTTTTACAATTAGTCTTAATTTGTGTTTGTAAAGCAATGGAGGCTCGCAAAGCTTCCATGCAGGTGAGGATTCGCGGAGGTAGGGTTCGCGATGATGACGAGAGACCAACATGGTGCGCAGTGAAGTGAAGTCGCGACTGGTGGCGGGAGTTGGAGAACGTAGTGGGAGGTGATTCGACCGGACCGACCCGTTATATTATCTCGCGTTAGTCAGTTAGTCAGTTTCCTTTCGTGCCAGTGATCCCGCGGTGATCTTATGATTCGACGACAAGAATTTTGCCATAAAAAAAGAATCCTGGCTCGAAACTCTACGTGTTTTGCGGGTGGAACCCGGTTGTAAACAAGTTCGCAAGGGGAAAATTTGTAAAAAGAAAACAATTAAAATCATAGTATTTTTGAAGTGATCCAGATGTGTATCGTACAACGAAATGAAGTAGAGTGATATACAAAGTCGCCTGATAAACGTAATCAGGAATCTACGATCGATCAATTGATCGGTGGTCTTCAACGCAAAGTAGTTAAAAGGCAGTTCTCGCGTTGTCGGAGATCGTCGGATTTTTAACGAGGTCGATTGTGGGTCGACAAACTCACGGAGACAATTACTTACGTCGCGAGGTGGAAAGATCTGTTAATTAGCGGCCGCGTGATCTTCCGGAATGTTTTACTGCGATCAGCAGCGGTAACTGGAGTGAAAGTAAATCCGGCGACTCGATTCACCCGCAGTGCAATTAGCGCTTCAGTGCCTAAGAATCCAGCCAAGTGACCCGTTATCGTTATCGTGAAAGTTATCGTGATCCGTTCACCTCCCACTCTCGAGGTCGCTCTGTATTGCATAGAGCTTTTAATAAGTGATAACTGTGAAACGCGTTCTCGTCTTGTAGAAATTTATACTCTTCGACTATATTTTTCTCTTTATTGTCTTTCGTTTATTTTCGTTTGATTGCGAGGAACGAAGACCTTTTCGCAGCTGGATATCGACAATTGAGAGACGAATATTCAACGAAAATGACCGTGGTAATGATAAATGTCACAATTCCGAATTAGAATTTTTAATATAGCAGTTGTATTCGCTCAATTTTGAGTTTTTTTTTTCACATGAAGATTGCACGCAATATTCTTTCAGAAAAATAGCTGCGTTTAACGTGATTGAAATACTTATGGTCTAGAGAGTTAATAATATTAAATTCCAGTTAATACTACTAGATTTTAATTATTTCAGATAATAAAATTATTCTAAGTTCTATGATTTAAACTAATTTATGACAGTGTTGAAAACGGTCAAGTTTCTCCTCGAAGCTAGAAGCTACGTGAGGAAGCCTACATCTAAAAATAGTTGTCTTTTGTCTAAACTTAGAAATTACATGTAGACAGTTAATAATTTAAAGAGGTGAAGATTCGAGTTAAAAATAGAAACTGCATGCAAAAAAAATACTTTTACTCGCGACGGTCTTTCATATATTATACGAAATTTTTTATTACATGACAATTTTAAACAAATTTCATTTCAACTAAAATAAAATCATTATTATTGCAACTTTTCTGACATTAAATATAATAATAGTTAAATATTATGCAGGCGTAAGATTACAGTTGGAAAGCTTTCTTACATTAAGAAAAAAGTATTATTTCATAATCCTTATTAATTAAAAATTAATTAATAAATTTAGGTTTCCATAAATTTTAAATTTCCATTACAATATAAATCCATCGATTAAAGAATAAATAAATAGATTAAAAAATATACTAATGTTTTTTTTATTTTTTATGAGGCAAATTATATTTTTGATTATTTCTTCATGATAAATGTACAGTCAAAGATAGACACGTTTATTTAAAATTGGAAACTATACATGCGTGTGTAAAAAATTAAGTATTCAAAAACTATATAAAAAATACAACAGCTAGGAAATTGATAAAAATCTCGGAATGATAACAATTATTTCAGAAAGTGAATAACAGTCAATGTATAACTTTGATAAGCAAAAGCTACGTGTTGAGGAGATTAAATATTCATGAAGGTCACATGGAAAGCGAGATAATCTGAAAAATTGATAAGAAGTCTTAAACATAATGAATCGACTCATCGGACCCATCGGACAAATGTTATACAGAAAATGAACCTCTAATTTTTGAAAGTATTAAAGATATCATATCGCTCGTTATGTAATTAATAAATAAGTAATTTACTTCTCTGGAAGTTTATGTAGAAGTGTAATAATTGCTTAAAGATGCAGAACAAAAATGACAGATGGAAAATATTTCGAAAACTTTTTGGAGTATTTTTTAGTATATGCGTTTCTATTATTAAACTGTGAAAGAGAAATACATATCTACGTGAAAAGAATTATTTTCTGACGGCGCATAACAATAGCGATTTTGTCTTGTTTCAGGTTATGGAGAGAACAAACACCATTGTTACGTGGCCATCAAGACTGAAGATCGGAGCAAAGTCGAAGAAAGGTAAGCTGTCGATCGATTAAATCTTTAAAAGTAATCTGTTACGTAAATTGTGTAGTTTAGAAAAGATTTTGTAGAAAAAGTTTAGTAAATATGTCAATAACGGATAACAATAGATGATAGAAATTTGTATTCTTGTACAAATATTACAGACTAAATTAGAAAATACTCCAGAGAAATATTTAAATAAAAAATAAATAAAAAATAATTTCAGGTATTATACAAATAACTAAAATAAATACTGCTTCGTATATTTGTATAAAGAACATGTTATTTGAGTTATTGGTATGATTATACAATAGACCGTGACATGACGAAATGCTTTTAGGTTTATTAATATAGACGAATGTCTATCTGCGTTTTCTCACAAATGGAGATTCGAGAGCAACGTTCTTTCTAAAATAACTGATAACAGCAGCATTATTATATCATTATCTGACATCGACAAACTCTATTAACGATTACAAAGGCACAAAATGTGATTAGACGGTGATATCTTATTTTGTATTTAATCTCAAGATAATACTTGGAATATGCGGACGCATATACTATATTTTCTAATTAAAAATAATTAAATTCTAAAATTATTAACGCGCAAAAGAGAACAATAATATATAAACAATAATAAATTGGAAGAAGAAAGCCATTTACGGTCAAAGCTGGATCACAGTGCTTGTTATAATTGTGTGAATTTTATATACTGCGTATGTAGTCCCCCCATAAATAATATATAAATCTCTGGGAAGTTTTCTTTTGTCGATATATTCAAAATCTATCTAAAAATATTTCACGAATCCGGAAATGCCGTTTTTCTCGTGACAAACGAGAGGATAATACGAAATGAGCGCGCAAGCGGAAGCTATCGATAGTTCGAGAGCGACATGGAATTCAGATTCGGTGTGCCGCACGTCCTTGGAATATTATACTCGTAGTTGTAGGAGACGCAAAAGTCATCTTTCGTGATTCTCCTTGCGTTCCTCGCATTCGGATATATGCGTAGCCGTGCGAATACGCATCGTTCGTGGATTGCGTCAACCGAGTGATCGGTCATGTCTCTTCGTCGTCAGCTGACGTTTCTTACGTACGTGACTTTATGATCGCTATTTAAAGTTTCATCATGACTATAGAAAAAAATTTGCATATCTCGTGAAACTTTTGAGATTAATTTGATACAAGTAATATCGAAATGGGAAACTTTTCCAACACATTTTTCATTTAATTGAAAAATTATAAATTTAATATTTTCAAATTTTAATCCGTATTTTTGTGAAATTCTAATAGATAAGCAGGTGAACATAGTTGATAACAATAATTACGTATGTAACATAGTAATGACGAATATCATTGAACAAAGAGTAGTAATTTTTTTTTATACTTTGTAATATCGTCTCTCGATTGTGAATATTTATTTGACAATACAATGAATTTTTAACTAATCGCTAGAAATAAAAGAATCAAAAGGTATCAAAATAAAAATTTCAAATAGATCGCTATAAAAATTCCAAGTTTCTAAATTTTCCATAATTGATTGCTCATCCATATTATTTTTCACATCGACTGTTTTAAGGATTAATTCGTCATCTATTTCCCGATACATAAATTATGACATGTGGATCAATTCAGAGAATCCTTTCGTTTGCTTGAAACAGCGTCGTACGATCGAATCTTGTGGAAATTTTTCAATGATTCATTTCTCCCTCGTAACCTAAACAGCTGTTGCACGTGCCTTTTCTCTCTTTCTCTCTCTCTCTCTTTCTCTGTCGCTGTTCTTTTCTTTATTTTACGAATCCAATCGCGCTTGATAGCCTATGTAATCGAGTATAAATAAACTTATATATTTGTTGCTCGTTGTGGCTTCAGATCATCGTTACAATATATGAGTTATCTCACATGTATCTGTATACCTAAATCTTTACAAAACAAAGACACTCAATACATGCGATACGGATTATTATAAGCTGTTCATAATTTACAAGTTCCCTTATAGTCATTCTAATAATTCTTTGTATGTAATCGCGGGAACGTCGATGACGGCCAAATGATAACGCATGAATGTATCGCAAGAGTTTAAATTCCATAGAAATTCATACGTAGGATATTGCTTGGATCTGTTTGATTATATCTCATGTATATCGGATGTGTCATACTTAAGTATACTATATACTTTTTTAAGTTATATAGAATGTTCTAAAATGATTGCTATTATATGTGAAAACTTCGACGAACTTAAATAACATTTAACAATATGGTATAACACATTAATTATTATTCATTATTACGATTTATATCTACCAAATAAATTACACAAAAAATGACGGCATTTTTTTCAAAGGCCTCATACATGTATAAACGCAGTGTATACAAAATATTTTGTTTGATATTCTACTGTGCAAATCGTCATCCTCTTAAGCAGATTTTATTATAATAAAATCTTGACTAACTTAACCGGATTAATAGAATTATAATATCAAAAAATTTAATTAAATCATATTTATGATTAATTTTACAAATTGATCGAGTAATTTCTAATTGGAAAAATTGTAGTAAACAGTCTACGAACTCGGGTTGTACCGTATATATTTCAATGTAAAGTGCGATTTCGCAGTTTATAACAAATCACAATTGACAAATCACAATGGAATTTGCATTCGAGGCAACGAATGAGTTAAATTGACTCACATCATGCGCTCTTCAGGCTTAATAGATATTATCGAGTTATCTTTCCCGTGTCACGATAGGATATCACCTTGTGATTTGACCCGTTCTCGAAGCTGTCGTGAATTTTGCGCAGCGAGATCAGCGGGATTCTAGTCTAGCCTAACCAACCGGATAATTGTCTGTGATCGAATTAAGCGTCAATCAGTATCACGCAGCCGTTCTAATTCTTCGTTGCGTGAAGATGTCGATGTGTCGCGAGTCACGTAAGCCACGCTACTCTTTGAGTGATAAGACTACATGTAACTTTTTTTCTCTTGCGGACATTCATAACTACGATGGTGGACTGTAATAACTATTACTTAGCATGATACTTGTGCCTGAATTGGATGGTAATCTTCTATAAATACAGCAAAGCTATCCATACAACGTATCATCAGTAAAACTGAAAGACATGCATTTCTTGATGTAACTAATAAAAAAGAACGCAAATAAAAACTATAAATTTGATGAATTTGGTTTAAAATAAATTGAGTATATTTTAAACAAAAATCAAATTTTATTAAACTAAATCATGTAATAATGAGTTTTACATCTCTGGTTTACGAACGAACTTGACATCGAAAAGTATAAACTGAAGAATAAAGTAGGTGAAGAGATAACAAGTTTGGGTTTATTTCATAATTAGAATTGTAATTATTTCTCGATAAATTGCTAGTTTTCTGTTTGCCCGTCATATCAGAGTTATATTTAGACAGTTTGTATTGAACGATGCGTGTTTGTGAAGTAAACAACAAAATTTAAAAATCAACTATCGCGTGACTTCGCAATGCTGCTGCTTCATCAAATTATTTAACTGGTTTTATTTTCGACCTAGATCGAGAAAATTTATCAGATTATCGTGAGATCGCGAGAAAGCTTTGCTTTAAATTCGTTACTGTTGTATAGAATTTATAGAGATTCTTCTTGAGAATACAATAGACGAATGGAAACATATATTATATAAAACAATAGCATAAAAGGACAACTTTCAAAATTAGCCTTTATTAAAAATTTCTTTACTAAATATTATATTGTAAATATTCGCTAAAAAGATTAATAATTAAAAATAATTTGAAAACGATTTCAATATGTTCAGACACGAAAATATTCTAAGTATTTTTATATGACAGTTATCATATAGCTTTTTCTCGCTTCGTAGCGTATATTTCATCGTTGTCATTTTTTCTTATATCTGAATTCTCTTTCTACATGAATTTATCATGAAACATAGCAATGTACACATCACACGTATTAAAGAACACCTTGTATCATTCAGATAATCAGCCGAGCCTCTGACACTGCCCCTCTCTTGTTACTGCAACGGCAGCCGACACTCCTTATCGCTTTGTACAAACAGGATTCATCTACTTTCTATGCTCAGCGTTAAAGAGGTCAGGTCAGGCTTCAAAGTCTTGCACTCGAATAGTCCGCATGCTACCGTCGCGTCGTGTCGATTCTAAAAATAATCGCGGATTGTGTCGCGAGGGCTGATAGATAATTGCATTAACGCTGCATTTTCTAGGCGCCAACCAAGTACTTATCGTGAATTTGTTCGGGCTCTGATTTTCAAAAGCACGCTATCAAGTATTGCGTTATTTTCCGTGATATCTCTTACATAATTAAGACGAGATAAGAAGGAGAGATAAAAAGCTGCTTCACGACTCAGACGATATGGTATCGTTGTTTTGATTGCGAAAAAAGTTCCGAAAACGTGTTTTTCTTTCCTTGCGCAGATGATTCTCCGTTCGGGAATAGAATTCGACTGTGCCAAAATCTCAAAATAAGTCTCAATTCTACTGTATGGAATATCACGGTATCTCAATGATCAGATATTCGAATTCATCAGTTTTAGTTAAAGCAAATTCATTTGAGATTAAATATAAAATTAAAATTTCATTATCCAGTTGCGCGCCAGATCGAACTTTTTAATGTTTGGAAAAAATAAAAAGAAAAGTTATTTAATTAAGAGTTATCAGCAAAATATTTTAATTGAAAAAATGTCGATTCTCTTTATTAAAACTCTCACACTTAGTTATACTCATTTTTAAACGTATCGATGAATCATGGTTTCCTATTTTACGCGTACATCTATTTATATTTAATGATGGATTTCTAATTTTTAATAATGATCGGAAGTATAGATGAAAATTATCGAGTCTCGTCCATGCGTGACAAGGATCGAGTAATGAGCGGAACGCGCACGTGCGATCATTATACAGCGTCAATGACGCGTCATATTCGACTTTGGAACACGTTATACAGTCGAAGGCCTCGCGTTCAAGAAAATGCAAGCGTTGCGAAGACTAAGATTGACTTCAAAATAGCTATCGATTGGTATCAAGTTTTCTGCAGTCGCCAGCGGCGTCTTTCTATCTTCGGAGCCCTGCGCTTAATTCTTTTTGGGATTACGTTAAAATCATCGACCAACTCTTTGCTAATAATATTCATCGACGTCAAGATTGACGTCGATAATACGTATTCAACATTACATCAGCGTTTTGAGTGTCGTCTACAATGTGTCGCCAATTTCATTGAATCGATGTAACTGTTACTTCGCTACAGGCCTTGGTTATATGTTTGAAGGGCGGTGAGTTCGTCGACCTTTACAAGAAAACAGTTTCATCCAGTTTTACGGATATTTTGTTTTCAAATCGTAACAAACCAAAAATTTCTGACCATACACGAAAGTCGATGAATGTTTACGTCGGTAGATATATATTCGGTGTCGGTCAAATTCGGTGTCGAGAAAAGCATTGCCGACCAAATCCTTGGTCTTACGTAAAGAGCCTGAGGCTCTCTTGCTATATTAGTCAATCCGACAAAATATATGTGAAAATACTTGTGTGACATATGTAGTCAATCTGTAGAAAGACGTATGTGGAAAGTACCTTTTAAGAAGAATTTATGTTTTTTATTTGTCAGCTAAGATGGAAACTATTACTTCGGGCTAATCGCTTATTTCGCCAAGCACGGAATGAAGTTTAATCTCGTATAACGTGTAATTAACGAGGTCAATTATACATAATTGATTGCTCAGTATAATAAAGGCGCGACTCGCTGCCGCCGTTTGTGTTCTCTTATACTCCCACACGTGTTCCACACGTGATCGTCACCAATCACGATAGAAATTAAATCTTCTACCTTCTTTTCGCAGATCCGCATATAAAAGTCGCAGGACGACTAGATGATGTACGATCAGCGAAGGAGAAGATAATGGAAATTTTAGACACACGGGTAAGTCATACATATTTTATATGTACATCCGGTACATAGATAAGACCCAGTTTGTATCAAAGATAACGTTTCCAGGGAATAGAAGAGTTACTATTCTGTTACTTGTTCCGTTACTTTTTGTAGTGACAATTTGAAAAAGACATTGCAATTTTTTTTTAATTATAATGATAACTATACCTGAACGCTGAAATTGCGCTAAGGTTGGGAAAGTCTACTACGAAAAGTAACTTTGCACCTTCATTATATATTTATTTGCTGAAAGACTATTTTTAACGAAAAACGTTACTCGTTAAAAGTAACGACTAAAAAAATAGTTTAAAAGTAGTGAAAACGAGTTAAAAATTCCAAGTTAATTCTTTCAGTAACGAGTGACTTTTCCAACTTGTTACAAGTAACGAATGAGTAATTTTCCAACCCTAATGTTACCATTACAATTCACAAAAAAATTAAACATTGCCAAATTGTTATTGTAACAGAGTAATGATAAGAAAAGTAACGGTGTTACAAGTAATTACTTCCATTCTCTGATCGTTTCACAATTAGTATTGTGAGATTACAGTAAGAAATAAATAGAAAACAATGTGACAAACCGTTTAAGAATACGACGTTTTTAAATGAATAGGATCAAAAGAGATAGGCTAAATTTAGTAGCCTATTTAAAAAAAGTAGTTATCTTTATGTTTTTTGGAGTGGAAGTGAAAAATATTGAACAATTTTACTCATTTAAACTATCAAAAAGAATTTTTTATTAATTTAGAACAATCGTTTACCTAACTGTTTTTACGCAATTTAAAATGTTCAATTAATGATCAAGTTGCTAAAGAATTCAAAAGTTCTAATAAACTTTTTTTAATATTTGGATGTAGTAGCTCTTGCATTTTGGATACTAAATTATTACTTGTACAAAAGTGGCTATATCGATAATCGGGAATGCAAGTAAAATGAGCAAATAATATTCTTTTTTGAGGGGAGAAGGGGGACGATCATTTTGTCGACGAAAACAATCCACGAAAAAGTGTGTCAGAGTACGGGAATTTATCGAATATTTAAACTGCAATTATCAGACGATTCGCGAGAGGTCTTTTCCTACTACAGTGTTACCGCAGTTGGCGCAATTACCAGTTGTTTTGCAATAGAGGAAACAACGTTGCACGCGGAACGATCGCTCACTCACTCACGAATGCAAGGACGTGTGCCTATTAGTATCAGTTATCAGTGAGTCGACATAGGCGATTACCGAATTCGATTGTGTGGTGATACGTTGGAGCGATCATTTATCTTTTTTTTAAGTGTTACGTCATTTACGGGTGATAAAAATTAATATCAGCATTGAATTGATATCAAATCGGAGATGTTATTAATCTTATTAAATATTGTATAATGTACATAGGCATTCGTAAATATAAGGATAATGTCAAAACAAAGTGCAGGTCAAGCTGACTAAAAAACAGATGAATTTTTTATAAAATACACTTTCAATAGTTTAATTAAAAATGTAAATAGTATTATAAATAAAGAATAAATATTTAAATTTATTTATCTGATTGTGTGCGAGAAAAAGAATCAGCGATATTATCGACGTTTCTTTCAATGGCGACTTTTGGTTGATGGGTCATTAAACTTTTAGACTCGCTTCAGCTTATGCGATGTCTTTTTTTCTTTGGCTCCGTGCATGTTTCTACTTAATTACCAAATACATATCGTAAGTAAGGAAGGTCGGGGGAATTAGTCGGTGAAGAAAAGAGACGAAAGACCACGCGGAAAGAGCATATTCTATTTATACGTCTCCGTTCGTGATCACGAATTCCCAGGCGAGAAAGCAAATCGTTATGTTTAGGCGAGCAGCCAAATTGCTTTAGAAAAAGAGAGAGAGAGAGAAAAGATAAAAAACATTTGATACAAAACAACGTGAAAATATTTTACAATAATATGATAATTCTTTAATTAATTAAATGATTAGCACTTGCTTTCAAAAACTCGAGGGGAAACAAAACAAATTAAATTTAATTTGAGATTGTCTTGGAAATTTAATTTATATTGATATTTGAAAACTAGGTCAAATTTTAACTAAACTTCGTCTTCGTGATCTTGAAATTTCTTACCTTTTGAAATTCTTAGAAAAGCGATTTAGATGATTGACACCGAATCTTTTGTTCGTGTTCTCATATCATGAACATTCCCTAACTTTAAAAAGTTACAATGAGACCCAGTAAAATGACGTTAGCTGGTCCCACTATTACCGTTAAATCGCAAGTCGGTAGGTGAGCCGGACTTGTCGTTTTATGTCAGCCATACCGATCGATTCCTGTTACTTTGTCGAATGTACATTCCGACATGCGTGTGTTCAAGAGACAGTGCGCGAATATATACGGAGACAGAAACGGGGTGAAGAAGGACGTGTGAAAGGAATACCTTCGCCGAGAGAAACGTGGATAAAATTCTGCGCTCGGTTTTCTCGGACACGAGAATCCGCTGTCCTTCTCCTTCTCTTTCTTGCGACTTGCGTGATCTACTCTCGCAATTGCAATCGCGGCAAGTGCATGGACACTTTAAAATAGATGTCATGCTTTGCGTCAGGCATGCAAAAGTAGCACGACAGCAACATTTGTATATATAGCGCTAATTACGGGCCACCGGAATGGCGCATAAATAGCGCAAAAGTATTTATAGAGCTCAGTCTGCCACGTGCGTAGATATTCAATATCTTTTCGAATCGACGCCAGGATGTCGACGTCCTGAATTTCGAAATCACAGTTGCATCTGTCTGGTTACGTTTTCGAAACCCGAGTGTTTACCGTGCTGAATGTTTAAACCAGCAGAGAAAGATGGTATAGAGTCGAAGCATTGTGGTTCTTTCTTCTGCTATTTCAACATCACTAGCCAAATAATGTTTTAATATAATTAATAAATGAAATGAATTATTACACATGTTTGGAAAGCTTTTCAAAATAAGTTATGAAATATCCTTACAAACGTATGAGACCTCTGAGACGCATAAATTACAACCGAATTTTGTTCAGTAGAATTTAATCAAATATAAGAATTGCGCAAATTTTCGTCGAATTTATTAGCACCCGCCTTATTTTTTCTTACCGCGAAGAGAGTTTATCTAATATTTAACTCTTACAAAGATTTCTTTGCATTTGCAATTATCATGATTTTACCATTACGAAGTGAACGTTTCGAGGCGCTCGGCCTCGTTGCGAGCGAGGCGGTACAAGCGACGATGACTCGTTATACAGGAAGGAGTTCCTAAAGTCGCACGGCGGATCGCGCGACGTTATCGCGTGACTTTATGTAATGTTCAGCCACGCGATATCTAAAGTTGCGCGCACGAGTCCTCGGTGGATCGGCGATATGGTCCGAGAAGCTCACGCACGTAAAATCAACGATCTTGAAGTTGGTAGAAATACAAAGTGTAACGAATGTAAATTGTCGAAGAGATTACATGCGCGTAGAATGTAATGCAAGAGTAAACATGCCGGATGAATAAATATGCTGAATAAAGTAAATAAATATGTAGGAGATACTATCGCACTTTCTCTCGGTAGCCGATTGGTATAATGATACAGAATTATTATTTTGTATATACATACAGATTTTATTCAAGTATCTGTTACTGTGTTGGCAGAAACACATTCTAGTTTCTCATTAATTCTAAATGTAATAATAATAATATCAATAACACAGCACTTTCAATTTTTATCAAAAATTGAATCTTATCTAAATTACCTTTAGCGATAATTTCGACAGACATCATTATATATCATTAACGTCATTTCAATATTTCAATTGCGAAAATTATCAGATTCGGAATTAAATTTTTTAAAATACGAGGTTAGCTTTCATTTTTGGTAAATATATATTTAATTAAAGACTTTTAATACAAGTTTTATTTTCTAAAATCATTTTATTAATTTTATTAATAGATATTAAAATTTTTAGAGTAAATCTCATTCTGAAAAGTATAATCTCACTCTTAAAGATTGAAAATTGTGCTACTCTGTTTCAAGATTGGCACTTAATTTTCACTTTTTAGAGCGAGATTTCACTCTAAAGAATTTAAACGGCAATATCTACTTTTTTGAAATAATAAAACCAAGAATATTTGCAAGTTGATTAAAATAACGAATCGAAACTAATTGTATAATTGGCGATAAAGATATGTAGTTGCCAAAAATTGTCAACTTGACCATGTGAATCAATCTCGCAATTGGATTTTCAGCAAAGTAACAGAGTGACCATGAAGCTGGATGTTAGTTACACCGATCATTCACACATCATCGGCAAAGGTGGCCTGACGATTAAACGAGTGATGGAAGAAACTGGTTGCCACATCCATTTTCCAGATAGTAATCGTAGTAATCATCAAGATAAGAGCAATCAGGTCTCCATTGCTGGCGAGATGGAAAGTGTCGAACGCGCTCGCGCTCGTGTTAGGGTAAGATTCCTCGCAAAACGTGTGTTAAGAATATTCCAGAAGACGTACTACTTTAATGCTCGATGATCATTCTACCGAGCACTAGAAATTGAGCTATTGTGAAAATAGCATCACTTCGGATATCCATGATATTTGCATTCAGTACGATCGGAAATTGAGATGCGGGACATTGTTACACTTCGAGAGAAATCAAAATCTTATTTCTCAATTAATTGAACGTCGCGTTAGTTGAGACTTTGTACTTCAAGCTTGGATATCAAGAATGTAATGTTGTCTAAATTATTATGTGTTATGCAATAAAATAAAAATCTCTGTTCAAGAGTAAAAAAGTAGTAGGTGATTTTTGGAAGATCCTATATATAAAGGTGGGTCATGAACAAACACACAATGAATAAACATCGAATGCTAACGAATATTCTGTTTATATATAATTATAAATGGTAAATGTCTCATTTGAATTTTTAAGTAAAAATTTAAATTCGCAGTTCATTTGTTGTTGGTTCATGAATACTCACCTCAAGACGAAACTTTCGAGAAATATCAACTTACGTTCCTATCTTTTTTAGAACCTGACGCCACTGATCTTTTCCTTCGAGCTACCTATAATGGGTGCTTCGCAGAGCATGCCAGACTGCACTTCGCCGTACGTGGTGAAGATACAAGATAAGTTCAATGTTCAGGTAATGTTTCGTACAAGACCGAAGCTGCACGCCACCCTAGTAGTTGTCAAGGGATGCGAGTGGGAAGTTTCCCAAGTCAAGGAAGCGACGCAACTACTGATCCGTCATATGTGCAAAAATCTAGCTGTGAGTAGCAAGGATAATCGACAAAGTTTGTCCTTTTGAGAGAGAGAGAGAGAGAGAGAGAGAGGGGGGGGGAAATTGAAAAAATTATTCTTTGAAAAACTGATAAAATTAAATCTGTAAAATTATTTTAATTTCTTATATAGAAATAGTTTTTTCAAACACTGTAGTTAATTTTTTTCTAAATGTTTTTTGATAATTTTTTAAAAATATCCAAGATACTCATCAATTTTTTACTTTCTTAGTTTTTATCGAAAAGTCGAGTTTATGAAAAAAAAAAAAAAAATAACTTTTGCTATTTTTAAAAAATTTCCATTATTTAGAAAATAATTTTTTTTTTGCATTTTTCTTCTTGCAGAGTCAAATCCAAGTACAAATGTCGATGGAGATCTCACCTCAGCACCATAGCATTGTCTTAGGGAAACAGAGTAGCAATTTGAAAATGATTATGCAACGTACCGCCACGCAGATTATGTTTCCTGATGCCGGTGATCCGAATATACCCAGCCTCAAGAAGAGCAATGTTACTATTACTGGCGATATACACAACGTTTATTTGGCTAGACAACAATTAGTAGTAAGTCGATATTCATATATCCGGCTGCCTATAATTAATTCCCACAATTTTATCTCTTTTTCTCCTATAAACATTTTCATTTTATAGAGTTATTCTCTCTATATAAATTTCTTTTTACGTTATTCTTCCAGGTCTTACACTTTCCTTCCAGTAATTTTATGATCTTTATATATCGTAATTTTTTAATATTATAACTCGTAATATATAAAATAATCAGAATTTAAAGACCTCAAAATGTGCACATTTAATTACAAAATATTTCTACTTGTGTAATTCTCTTTCTGTAATTTAGTTTTCTGTAAATGTTTATTAATAATGACAGTACATAATTATGATACTATCATGTCGACGATTGTGTGTTTAGGGCTCGTTGCCACTGGTACTCATGTTCGACCTGCCGGAAGACTCTATGACTGCTTCAGTGGATACGGAAAAGATCTCCCAGCTCATGCAGTCTTTGGACGTGTTCATCAACGTTCGCCATAAGCCAAAACAGAGCACACTCTCTGTGATTATCAAGGGAATCGAAAGGAAGGCCAGTAATATTTACCAGGCGCGGAAGCAGTTGCTGGGACTGGATGAGCCCATAGTAACCGCTGAAATACCGGTTACTTATCACATTCCGAATGCTGGAAATATTTTCCAAGGGAGCTCCAATAATGATGGTAAGTGTTTTGTTCATTAAATCAATAGTAACTTGTTGATTACGAATCCATCGTTTTTACATAAAGCCAATATTTTTATTAGTGTTATTACAATTGTTTATAATATATCGACATTGAATTTTAATCAAATTTTCGAAACAGTAATTAAAGAATTTTCGAAAATATGGAATAATCAATTCCATTTGGAAACATTTATTCTTTTCACATAAATTCTTTAATATTTAATTAGGCTCCAACAACAACTTGATTAGTGGAGTACAGGAAAACTTCTCAAGCATATTAAATGTAAACACGCAAAATTCGTCGTATTGCGTATCGCCAATTTCGCACTCACCGAATTCTCTGGGCCTGTCGCCGCACTGGGGCCTCACTCATCATTACGTTTCGTCAATGTGTCCGTATCCTTACTCTCACTTAAATCATCTGCTGACGACACAACACATGCTGCACAACAACATAATGGGAACTTCTCACGGACCCCATGGATTATCGAATCACGTGATGCCTCCCAATATCGGAGCATTTCACCATAACAATGTACCGACTAACTTTTCCGGTATCCACGGTCTAAACACCAATTCGTTGATGGATAGCAAAGATGGTGGCAGTGGTGAGTAATTTATTCTATATGAAATTTTACATTTTAATTTTGTTATTTAATTATTTGATTATTACACATACATGCATGTGTAATATCGATTTGAAAGATAAAGTGAGAGAAAATTACTGAAGTACACGTATAAAAATACGTCTCAATAAAGTTTCAACTTTAAATCTGAAAGTATTTTGCTACGTAAAAATAGGAAGTACATAGTGTACTTAAATATTATTAGTATTTTAGATTTTCCCTGATGTTATTTTCTTATTAGACGCTCTATATCATAAGATGTATCGAAATTGATTTGATTTTTATTTATTTGCAGCTTATTCCTCGCTAAGTAGCGTTTCTAGTTCTTTATCTAGTCCTGCCATTAGTCCTCGTAACATCTCACCAGTCAATCCTACGGATACTAATACTAACTTAGGTAAGTCAAATGTTTCGAGAAATCAACATTACGTTAATAATCGGATTATTTACAAGTTACAAATAAATATTCGATTTTTTTTAGCGGATTTGTCTAGCATGTTGTCCGATTTGCCAGTTACTGATCGACGTGCACCTGGTTGCGAGAAGAAATCGCTCGAGATGGCTGCGCAGCAGAATCTCACGCCCTTCGATTATGAGCAGAAGAAACTGCTGGCCACAAAAGCAATGCAAAATAAATCAAGCAGCAACGATTTCCGCGTACCAACGTCTGCTTGGTCTGGTTACGGTCTTAGCCAAAGTATTCCGCCCATAACCACGAGTGACTTAAGCAAGGTAACTACCAGATTTCTTATATTTTCAACGAGAGTAAAAGGATTTATATTTATAATTGTGGTTTTATATATTAATATTTAAAAAAAATATGTAACATTTCTTTTAAATATTTGAAATAAGTATAGCTATTCCTATGATAATTATTTAATAAAATCAGTAATTTCTAAGATTTATTAAAAATTATCAAAACATTGACTTCAAAATTTTTTGGATGCAGGAGCTGACATCACATCCTTCAGATTTATGGAAAGAACCGACCACGCCGGTGGTGTTCAGTACCGAGATGGATTTCAGTAGTATTATCTCGAGCAAGGACCGCGTTGGACAGATCGGGATGGCGGCTTCAAATTATATGGATCATACGCCGACTTCCCATTTGAATAAAATTACATCGTCCCATCGTTTCAATGATCTGGGCAGTATGTTAACTAGTATCGGCTTGGAGAAATATATACGTGAGTATATAATCAAGTTACAATCGTTTACAGTAAAAGCACATCTTATTTTATTCCACCGAGTGCCATTGCTTTGCTTTTATTATATTTTCTGCTTTTACTTGAAAAAATCGAAACGTAGCATCGCTTTTTTTTTTTTTTTTCATTCGCTAGGCCTGTTTACGTCTCACGAGGTGGACATGGCCACGTTTCCTTCCTTGACGGAGAAGGACCTTTGCGAAATCGGAATTACCGCTTGGGGTGCGAGGCGCAAAATAATGCTATTAATATCTGGTATGTAACATTTTACACGCAGGACAGCTCAACTAACTCTGAGCAGCCCAATTAAATGGATTTTCATAATCTAACAGCAAAACAAAGATTTTGAGGAAGCTGATCTTTGCATTTTGTCAATTACTACTATTGCTACTATTATGAACTGTCAAAATTTCTGTAATTCTATAAAACTTTCTCTCTCTCTCTCTCTCTCTCTCTCTCTCTCTCTCGAAATCTCTGTGAAACTATTTGACTAACACTAACCAAATACTTTGCATATGATAATTTGAAATTATCTAGGTTCGTAATAATAAACATGTAATTAACGAGAAAAAAATATAATGAACACACACAAGGCTATTTTTGCTCCCGAGAACTGGATTTATTTTATTTTCTTTCTGTATTTGAAACAAATTTTCTATTAATCTCGATAACTTGTTTCTCTCTTTCAGAAATGAACAAACGAACTAGTCCGTTTTCTGGAAGTGCTGCGCCCGGCGCTGAACGAAAGGCATCCTCGTCGTCGGCGCCAACGTCGTCGATTGGCAAGTGCAATTTGGATACTAAATGGTAAAAGAAAAATGATAGGGTGTATGTTATCCGTTCCGAACGCAGTGGCGTGTCAGCACTATCAAGGCCTGATTTCAAAGATTCGTTGCACATCGATTATAATTATGAAAACAGATAAACATACGTACTTAATAATGCTGATCGCGTGCGTAATTGTGGGGACCATTACGCTGTTATATCAGTCGTTCGGACGGAACAAATGTGGATTTACGGAAAACTAAAAGGGGCTATCTCGACTATTCAGTTCGTGAGAACTCGACGGATGCGGTACGAATAGCCAAATAGTTTGCATGTTGATGATTTGAAGTTACTTAAGTATCAGGAGAAAATTATTTTTGCCGAGAACTGGCTGTATTATTTTTTTTCCTCATTTTTTTTCGCTGTTCTCGGCGCGCGGCCGAAAGGTGCCTTAGGATTTAGGGTAGTCGTTATTATTTTCGCAGTCTTTGTTCGTTAGTCAAGATGGACATTCGCGTCGCTATCGTTTCGTTCTTATTAATAAATTTTTCTACATGAATATATTAACGATACAATCGATTCCAATTAATAAAACAAACAAAGCGCGTCAGTTGCGTGGCGAAAAAAAATATAAAATTGTATTTAAAACTTTTGCGAAACGTCGACGCGGATATCCTCTTTAATATATCGTGGTTCGCTTGATGACCGGATGATCAGTACGTGTGAGTGAATGTGCGTATGTGTGCATGAAATATCGGGCATAAATGTTTCGAGTAAAACCTAAAAAAATATCAAAAAGGAGTTTATATCAGTTATTAGAAATTTAAACTAAAATGCGATGGGCGAGGGATGTCCCGTGTGTTCAGCGGCCTTTCGTCCTAGCAAAAATTTACATATATTTAATTCAGACTAAGCTCGAATGCAACCGCGGGTCGTCCAAAACTGTACATATTCTTAATTGAAATTATTTCTTAATTCTTAATTGATCTTAAGTAATTCGATGCTAATCAGTGATTCAGTGTCACACGATAACCAAATGCAGTTGCGATAGATCTTGCATGAGGTTGCGATCTCGAGTTTTACAAAGTAAGTATAAGTTGAAAAGTATTTATTAATTATTTCGCGAAAGACGCTGGACGCACGTCAAACAATAGACCGCAAGAACTTTTCGTATAAAGCATGTGTTGAAGACAGAACGGTGTAAAACGAATTCTAAAGCGCAAGTATTCCATGTATCACTCTCCGCGTAATCGATACTTTTCGAGGAGCCAGTTAAATCGGGTATCAATATCCAATTACAATTCACGATGACGATCGTCGGGTTAATTAATAGAATAGGAAATCTTTGTTAAATTATAATTCTAAACTTGGCAGAGTCAAAGAAATGAATTTGAAATTGTATTATAACGAAAAATATAAAAATTATATATATATATATATATGTAAAAGCTATATATAAAAAAATTAAAAAATTTACAAGATGATATTCAAATATAAAAGTATTATCTTAATATAATGCAATTTTTTTCTAATTGTAAGATTTATTTATGACATAAGAATATATACGATTGTGATAATTTGGACGACATATGCAAATATGATTTATATAGAGTCTGCGCATTTAAAAACGATACATTGCCAAGTTTAGATTCTTCCGATTATCCTCGCACGCAGAGAGCTCCATTGGTCGCAGTCGATTTCGCAAAACGATTGTTTTATAGACATAAGATATATTTCGTTCTCGGTAATAATTTATTCGAATTTTTAAACGTTATTTTTGTTAATTTTTTTTTGGAACAAAGGAATGAAAGCGTTAGGTAAATTAGTTCTTGAGTCACGCGCATTATTATTTAAATATCAATGTAACGTCTTATACATATCGAATTAAAATCGAAGAATACGATTATTACTTATTCTCCAGAGGAAAGAAAATCGGTTCTCTTGTGAAATCCTTGAATCGCGCGATCATATAAATCCACAATCGTCAGATTTCTGTGTAAAGAGTGAAAATAAAGAGAGCCGAATCGCGCGATCAAGTGAATCGAACATGCCTAACGAAAGATTTTACTGCGAAGAGTTCTTGACTAAGTCTTTTGCGAAATCTTTTTAAGCGTAAATTATTTGTGCGCTCGCGAGATAAATCGGAACATTAAGAGGAGGAATAAGTTACTGAGAATAAGAAAACGAACAATTCAATCAAGCAGTTCAACATTATATCTACACGTATTTGCGAAATATCCTTATATTTCGCAAATCTGGTTTTATTGTCCGTTTGATTTTTTTTCGCTCAATAGTGATAATAACGATGATCTAAAACAAAAAGTTCCCAGAAGATTTTCTAGGGCGATCATGTTATCGGGTCGTCACACGGGTTATACGATAACAATTGCAAAAACAATTAGATGAAGATGATATGCCGCGAAACTGGTTAACTATATAAAATGAGAAATACACATAATAATAATCTATAGATCTATAGATTTTGACAATTTTACTATTTAAAAGAATAACTCTTGAACTTTAGTTTCAACATCTATAGAGATCTTGTGTGTAAAGTGTGTAAAGTTAATTGCTTTAGCAGAAAGTCTAAAATTTTTAGTAACAGAATTCTAAAACAACGTTTCATTAAAAATTGTGAAATGCTGTATTTTGTTAAAAAAAAAAAAGCATCAATATGTTATTATATTAATGACGGCGTAATTTTTAAATAAAGAATTTCATTCATGTTAAATCTCATTGATAACGACAATTAACATAATCTTAACTCCAGAAAAGTTTAAAAGACTTTAAGGATACGATGAATTTTTTCCATTTGAAAAAATTAGGACCCATTTGAGTATGAATTTCTATAACATTCTTTAAATTTTTATGTTATCTAAATGCTGCATATCACCTTAATCCAATTGTGCCTGCAATTATGCCTCTCTAGGAACTATGTTTCCATAAGAGGCAAAAGATAATGATTTTTTTTTTGTGGCAGCAACGATCGTTATCCACAAAAAGAATTCTGATTGGCAAAGGAAACGATATTTGCCAAGGAAAATAAACAAATGTGAGCATGAAGTGTGCGCAACTGACCGCATATCATATGTAATATATCCATTGTCGCTGCGGATAAAATGTACACGTACGTATAATCGTGAATATATCAACGAAGCAGCGCAAACGTCTTCGCGTTCAAAAAGCATTCGTTCGAAAATCGTTGGCACTTCGTCTCTTACATATAAGGGTATCTCGAAATCCAGGAACTTGAAAGGAATAAAATACGAGAAAAAGATTCAATTGAAAAGTTAAATTCATTATGAAAGTAACATGGAAAAAACAGTCAATAATTTATATTTGTGATATTTGAAAATATGCGACCACGGAATTCGAGATGGAAACATCTTACATACTATACAGCAAGATCGTTATATTCCTTTGCCGATCAATAATCGACGGTTTCTTTGCCTAGTCCTGAGAAGAAATCTGTCAATGTTCCTACGTGAATACGCACTGATCCCGTGCAAGATAGTATACGGATAATATAGGTATAGTCGCGGAAATTAGCGTTTAAAAGAGAGGAAAATGCGCATACGAGGAGAAGAACGACGACAACGACGGACATAGAGTTTCTAATTAGCGTTCTCGAGCATTTCGGTTAACGAGAATCGATTTACGTCGGGAAGAGAGAAGATATACACACCTTCAAACTGTAAAACCAGTTTTTCACTACTACTTTTCTCTAGTCCCAACTCACTTGACATTTTTTGCATTCAGCAAATAACATGACATACTTCTCTCTCCTTCTCTCTTGAACAAACAAAGAAAAACGAAGATAAGATCAGCCTAGAATCAGGCATTGCGTATAATCAATTGCGCTCGACCTCGCTCGCGAAACTTATGCGACTTGGAGTCCGTTGCGTTTACGAGAATGCGCCGTAAATCTTCGAAATTGCGTATCGCAAGTATATTTTCTCGTCGAAAATGAGCCAGAGAAAATATTACGAGCCATTAATATTATTTCATTATAGCAAACTGTGGACTCGCTCTTTCCTATCTAACTTATTCAGCTTTAGATAGCTTAATACGATTTATATCAATTATTAAAATGGATTAAGCTTATAATTTTTTGTAAGATTGACTTCTTAAATACGATTTAGAATCTTATTTAAGAATCTTATACAAATTATGGATTAATTCATTTTAATTTCTAATATCTTTAGTGACTTTCATTTTCTTCATTTTAAATTCCATGATAGATGGATTTAAAAGAAGAAAAAATAAGACTTCTGAGGAGAATCTCGGGAAAATTTAAAGTCCACAGGTCGTATCGTTGCATAACGATCTTTTCGTCTTAACGGTACATAGATTTGCGATTACTTATAAAATTCTTCAATTAGAGAGAGTTTAGCGATCTTGTTTGTTTTTTAAAAACTTCAGAAAATTAAGTTGCGGAAATTAAAATTTAAATGCTACATTTTATACATCTCAAATTGAAGTTAAGTCAGTTAATCCAATTTGTTAAAATTAGATCTAGTTTTATTCCAACTAATTATAATATTGATTAAATTTCCTCAGCTTTATTAATTTCAAGTCTTTAAAAAGTGAGATCTTGTCTAAGACGTGATGTCATCTTAATTCAATAGCTTAATGGCACGCAAATCGTTTTCATCATGTATCAATAAGTATAAATGCGTCGCACTATTGTGTTCTCTCTTTCATACTCAAAATATCAGAAAATTGTTTTTTTTTTTGTTTTGGTGATATCGACGCAAAATCGCAAACTCCTCTTCCTCCAGAAGAGACACTCTCTTAGGATACTTAAAGATTGTCGCTAAAGGAATACGGAGAATAATCGAGGAGTTCATCCGAGGAAAGAAAAGTAAAAGTGATACATAGCGACAATTTTAAGAAAAAAGTAGATGTTTCCAAGTTTGAAATTTAAAATTATTTTTAAAAAGAATATGTGCGCGCGAGGCACACAAAATGTGGAAAAGAAACACAAATAGGAGAAAGTACAGAACAGTAATTGTAATTTAAATGCGTCGCGCTCCTCAAGCGCCTTATTATTTTTCGGGTGAACTCTGTCGCGATTAGTAAGATTAATGTTAGAGTGGGGCGCAAATGTAAACGCGCGGATACCTCAGGAAATAACAGCTCAATCTTTGAAGAAGGGATTTCTTACAAAACGATGAAAAGGAAACCGCACTATACAATTGTACTATAAATCATACATTCCAAGGAAAGATGATGAAGAGTTCGGATTCAAATGAAATTTGTAGTGTCGTAGGAGAGGCGGATGGAAATTGTTAATTTATGTGTATGTGTTTCGCGTTTTTTTTTTCTTTCTGTGCTATGGTGTTTATAATGTTGTTTCTTGTGTAATAAATCCGGGGACGTGCCCGCCCATCGAGCGCAGGTGCAGCAACTGAATGATAAATTAATCGATGAATGTATCATTATTGCATGTAAACAATCGGTCCATCGACCTGCGTGGCGGCAGATGAAGCGTTTTATAATATACAGCGCAGCATAATATTTTTATATGATATAATCTAATCTAATTTTGATATAAGAGCCAAGAGAGGATGTATTGATCTATTAATGTTTGTTTCGGAAAAAAAAAAAAGAAACGAGAATGTCGAAGTCGCCCGAAATCGGGATTTGTTGTATTGAAATGAAGAATAAAGAAGATTTTGTATATTGCTATTTTTAATAAAAATAAAATATTAATATCACACACATACACCCCGTTCGTGATAAATCGATTGCGGCGATATATCAGATCAGAGGTAAATCTTTTTCCATTTATATTTCATGTATGTTTTCATGAGAGATTTAATTAACAATATAATAACAAAATTATTTGTTTTTAGGAGATTTATAATTATAATAATTTCAACATATTAATAAAATTGTTTTTAAGAGATTTAATTAACTTCAATATATAATAAAAAATTATTTATATATTTATTTTATTCGTCGTGTGTTGCGACAAATCACTATTGTTTTATTGAATTACTTTGGTCATTGCAGGGAATCTCTCTCTCTCTCTCTTTACGGAATTAACACATTATCACATAGTAATAAAACCATTTTCACTTGTAAAGATAGTGATTAAGACTGAAAGTTCAGGCACGTAACTCGTTCATCACAATAACATCACTTCCAGTTTCGGATCACTTTTAACTTTGATAAAACTGGAAATATACGTACGTTCGCGTTATCCATCGTCCACTTTTTCGAAGCTATCATCCGATTCCTCGTCGTCGCTCCAAGACGCGCTCGCGATCGTGTATCTTTTCATATCTCCGGCATGGAGCTCCGCGTTGCAACTAGGACATTGGAACACGTTCATCGCGGTGAAGTGAGCTTGCAGGCAGTAGTAACAGAACAAGTGTTCGCAGCCGGCGTGCGACGGTAGAATCGGGTCCTCGAAACAGTAGGCGCACTTGGTCGCAGCGTTCATCACCGGCAACAACCCGGTCGACGGTTTCGGTCGTCGCCATAATCTCATCACTACGTGTCTCAAGTAGTGGAAGTTTATCATGGGTATACCGATCGTGAAGAGTTCCATCAGACCGTGCCAGAGCAATTCTCTCGCCATGTACGAGTAACCAATGATTCTGGGTCGGTGTGTCGTTATCGACTGACTGGACAGACCAAGCAGAAGCTCTATCACGCGTGGTTTTACACCCCGATGAAGAAAGAGGAGTAGATTGACGAGCTCCAGGAGATTGATCACGTTCGTCATCCAATCAATGAGCGACTTTAGTGCTCGAGCAAATGCACCACGTTCGGACAGGTTCTCGTGGGCCAATTTGTCTTTCAAGTACTGAGGTACGACGCTTAGGATCAAGTAGAGTATAGCTTTCCTTTGAGTGATGTTGACGTAGTGCAGATTGAGAAGCCGCTGGCCGAATGTCGAAGAACCTCGTTGCAATGAGAATTTCCAGATTAGGAATTTTAGAACGGCGTCCACTTCCGCTTGCCACTTGTCAATCTTACCAGGTGTGCAGTATTTAGTGATCTCTTTGGTTTTATCCCTCAGCACTTTATAAATTTCCGTGTCCAATTGAGCAGCATCGATCTGATTTATTCGCGAGACGAAAGGTGACATCTTGATCGGCTGGAGGAACTCTAAAAAAATTTTATTTTTACATTCAATAATTCAATGCAATGCAAAAAGTATTATTTAAATTAATAAATACATGCCACGAAAATTAATTTTTTTTCAAATTAATTTTTTGTTTAACAAAATTTATGAGAAATCAATTGATATGCTTTTTTTTAATATCGTGTGAATTTTAACACAATTTGAAAAGATATGAAGTAGAAATTATTTAGGAAAAATTACGATTCGATACACTTTTGATGATTTTGTGACGAATTCTTGACATGACAATTATTTATTAGTGATATTTTACTTAAAAATAATTATCATTAATTCATCATAAAATCATCAAACACTCAAATTTTTGTCTTAAATTAATAAGACGAATATTAGGAAGAAATAACATTTGAGATATATTAATTATAAATTAATAGGTATTTTATTTATTTTAGAATTTACGTTATATTATATAATATTATTTACTATTATATTATAAATTATGTTATTATGATATAAAAAAATGTTGAATATCAATTTAATAAAATATTTAAATAAAAAATAACGTTAAATTAACTATCGAATATGTTAAAATTCAATACCAAATTTTAACAAGAACTTGGATCAAATAATAATTATCATGAATGACATCATTCAATTTTTCCTAAAATAACTTGAGTCAACTTAACATTCAAATCTTATTATAATTTTGTGTTCTACCTGGGATAGTTACTGAATAAATTGTCTACGTAAGAGAAAGAGAGAGAACACCAAGAATGACTAAAAAATCACGCGGTGGCCTTGGCGTCCGCGCACTATATTCAAAGTGCATCAAAAGTTACTTCGTCATTCGCAGAATCTAATTTTCACTTATCATTTCCCGTACCTAATCGTATGAGCGACGTTCAATCTTTCCTAATGTCGACAAGAGACCGAGTATATACGATTATATAAACGATCGCCGGAAACTCGCCGTAATACCGGGCAAAAGGTGGTTCACTTTCGAATCGTCTCACTCGAAGTGTGGCAATGAAATGAAGTTGGTCACGATATGGTTTAAACGATGCCGTGAAAATGCACCCGTTTGAAAACTCGTACGCCGCGCCACAATCGAGAAATTGCCGTTTACGAACAGAGTGATCGAACGCGACCGCGCTGGCGAAGAGGTTAGAATGACACCAAATGACACCGCACGATCGATCGCTATACATAATCACGACCGCATCGCATCGCGTATACACGCCGCCAGCAGAATGCAGCTGAATGCAGCAGAATGATTGTCCCGCACTCCGCAGTTAGCCGAGTCTCCTCCGGCCGAAACGAAAACGGTCGAAGGCGCGCGACTGGGTGGCGGGGGTGGGCCGTTCGACCAACGGGAGAGCGTGGCGTTCGGGTCGACTCGGCGCGGCTCGGCCGGGACTTCGTCTCAGTTCGGGTTCGTGTCTCGTCGCCGCTGCGCACGGGGCGCGTCCGCTGCCGCGGCTGCCACTGTATACGCTCTCCCACCCTCTCTCCTTCGCGATTACTCCGCTCCGGCGCTAACGTTTTTGAGGTTAGGCGGCGCACGGTTCCATCCTTCGGCTAGTAGCTAACGGTGGACTACCGTCGTGACCGTAGTGCGTGGTTCGTGTTCGCGCGTACGTACGTCGGCGGGCTCCATGTTGCCGCCGGTGGTATGACGTCATCGAGTGTCGGTGGTGCCGCGCGTGTGTACCCGTTGTCGTCGTCGTCGTCGTCCCCGTTGCCGTTCCTCTCACCCGTCGTTGTTGCATGCTGCTTGCAGCCCCGTCGCGCGTCATGCTGCTCTCGTGATAAAGTTTGACTTTTTCTCTCCCTTTCTCTTCTCTCTCTCTCTCTCTCTCTGTTTCTCTCTCGTTTTTCCCCCCTTTTTTTCTTATCTCGCGGAGTGTGTAAGCCCACCACCGTCGTCGCCGAATCTCGTCGGCGGCTGCCACGGCGTGCGTACGTGTGTATGTGACCTCGTCGCTTCTCCCGCACGTCCTCCCTCGCTCTCTTTCTCTCGCTCGCTGTAATCACCCGTCTATCCACCTCCGCTCTCTCCGTTTTCCACGGACAGACGGACGGGACGCCCGCATCGGCAGCCGCCACCAGTCACCCGCGGAACGTCCGCACGGCTCTGCGAACCAGGTGAGTGGCCAGAAATTACATAATATCGCTGCCGCGCGGTCGAACGCGGTCCGCCTCCGCCTCTCGTTCTCCCTCCTGCTTGCCGTAAAATCGATTCGCTATCGAGTGACAGGTTAACCTCCAATTTGGCCAGGCGAGGAGTGCACCGGGAAAGAAGCGTCTCGTCTTGTTTTTCGCCGCGCCGGTTCCTCCTCGTCGTCCCTGCTTTTTATGCATTCGCGACATTTTCACCTACGATATTACACCGCGCGCTTTTCATTTTACGTATATTACGCGAGTGCACCGTTTCTCTCCTCTCTTTTTTTTTTAATGGGAACAAGCTTTTTTTCCACTGAAACGTCCTGCTCCAAAACAGCTTCGCCGGAGGAGTGGAGCTCTCGGAGCAGCGATTGTTTCAAGGGCAGCTCATGGATTGTATATTGCACAGGTTAGGCCAATAACATACTTACAGCAGACCGAAGGTCTGTTCGCGTTGTTTGTTTGAAATCCCTAAAAATGAGTCGGCCATCCGATGTCGTCTATAGAAAATCCTTAGCAACGTGTAAATGAAAAGAACGTAGGAAATAACTTTAAAGCATTTAAAAATTTAGCTATAGATATATATCTGATAATTTTGTTCAACTATAAAAATAATTATTGTAGGATGCTCTCAATTTATTGCTAGAATGTCAAAATTCTTATGCAGCATACGAAGGTCGAAATTTTTGCATAATTATTTTGTTGGGCTGTCAAAATAATTATGTAGGGATCTCAAGTACGATGCTGTCAAAACTTTTGATAATCTCACGAGTTGAGCATCCTATAGGTAATTTGATAATTTTGATAATCAGTCCAAAACATTATTTTCAGAGCTGTACTAGCTAAATTTTTAAATACTTAAGCAAACCCGTTTTTTCTATGTATCATTTTGAAGTGTTTGACCGCAATATATGCGTTACTCCGGGCCGGTCTCTTCCGTCATCGACGACGTCGTCATCGCGATCATTACGCCGCGTCGAGGCACTCACGGGAGCTCGGCGAAAGAATTCAGATTGTGAACTTTGAAATAATAGCGCGATCATTAACTGATATTATTTATCCGCTGCAGTTTAATTACCGTCATCATTGTCATTACCATCAATGGTTATTACAGCTCTGTTACAACGTTGTTACCTAGTTTCAGAAAATTAGTCTCGTCGTCACGATTATAATTGCCTCAGTTACGCTACATTATTGTTAAACCGATTAAGGGAATATCGTTACATTGTTTTTCGATTTATCGCTGATTATGAAGATGAGACACTGGGATTATCTCAGGGTAAATATTTTTAATTGCGAAATACATATTAAAGAGTCCGACGTGGATTAAAGTTTCACGCAGACCGGATTTCAAGTGTTAAAGGGAAACTGCAATGTAATTTGCATTTAAAGAGCGAATATATTGCTGCAAAGTATATATATGTATACATATGTACGTCGAGATACATTATCTTTCTCGTAGATTGTTTTGTCTGGATGTAGGATTAGTATAGACTTTGACTGAGAGAAAGTAATCTCAATCACGCGTTAAAGTATAGCACACGAAAAGAACAGTTTTTTGCTGAAGTGTTTAAAAATTAATTACAGGTCTGAAAGTAATTTTGTTGGATTAAATAATTATGTAGGACGTTCGAACTGATTGCTGGAATGTTAAAACCTTTTGCAGCATTGCCATCAACGTTAAGCGTTCTAAATAATTCTCTTGATGATTTAACCAAATTTTCAAATTTGCATTTAACGAAACTTTTTAGGAAAAAAAATGATTAGTATAAATAATTACCTATTTGTTATGTGAATTACAAAAAATTATTCTATAACTAAATTTTGAATAGAGCAATACAATTTTTTAATTAGAAAGTAAGAAGACTTTATAAGTTACATCAACAAAATAAATGATTATTCCAAATATTCTTAATGTACATAAAAATCCTAATGAATGATATACGCATTATTTCCTTTCTTACAAGTCCAAAATAAATTAATATATTTATAGTCAATAAGTGTAAAAGAGTTGTTAATTTTATTGAACTGATAAACATATTATCTTCTTCATTTACGATATAGAGGGTGTCCTAATTTTCCCTCGTATCGTCTTTTATCTTGATAAAACTTGATAAACTTAATTATCGTGCGACTTTTCCTTTTGAAACATTTATCACATGCTACTTTCGGCTTTTAACGTTGAACACCCTCGATTTAGTCCCTTTATCTATGGCATTATTGAACGCGAGTTTAGCTCACAATCATGAACGGTGTTATCTGTCGATACACACTTCTGTTTCTTTCATTTAACGATTCTTTTTAAAACTACAAAATGATAGAGTATCGCCATATCTTTTAACATCAGATATTACTTGATTGGATTAATTCGGATTAAGAAACAGGAAGTAAAGAGCAAAAGCTTTTTATCGAAGCTTGCACAATCGAAATTTGTCTACCAGTCGAACTCGCACTCTGCCGAAGTTCACGTTATATTGGCGGCGTGTTGCTTTGACAGTAGATCGACAGACGTAAACAGCCGAGTGTGTACGTGATTTGCATATCTATTCGCATCTCCCCCCCCCTCTCTCTCTCTCTCTCTCTCTCTCTTTCTCGTGGTTGCTGCTTATATCGCTCTTGGCTCTGACCTTAATTTACGGTCCGTGGCCGCCGACATGGAAGACTCATTCGCGCGAACGAGCGAGCTTTTCGGCGTGCTCGCGCACCTGGCGACGTTATTTATCGACGCGCCTAAATCCGTCGCGGCGGCGGCGGCGGCGGCGACGCGACGGCGACGTACGTCGATGTGTACCGCGTTACGTCGTACTCGATCCCTATTATCGCCGAGGTAAGTCTCGACGGCTTGTCGATATCACCGATAAATTGGACCTGGCTATACTGCACACTCCTTGCATTAGCCACGCTCACGTGGAGACTATTTGGGAGTTTTATTTACGTCGGCTATCGGATATTATCGGTAGTTTTTGCTACTCCACTGTGTTCCACACTCTGAGAGTACTTCACCATTCCGAAATCAGCTCTCCCCGAGACTCATCTTATGCGAAAGATTTTTATGCGTAATATATATCGGGCTGCTAATTTTTCTGTTTGCACTCTTATTATAAGGTTTCGATAAAATTAGTAATAAGTACGAAATTTTTGTAGTACGAAAATAATGAAGATTAGAGTTTTGCGAATTAATGTCCATTTCTTCCATTATAGATAAACTTTAATCTCAATTTAACTCACTCTCTTAATTTTTTTCTAATTTTTAGAACTAGAAAAAGGTAAGAAATAAGTTAAACCGAGATTGAAATTAATATATGTTGATAGAAATGGACATAAGCTCTTGATGAAGAGTAAAAGACATACTTCTTTTGGTTACACAAGTGGAATCTGTTTTAACGGAAATTTTATTTATGTTGTGTAACTTTTATTCTTTAGACGTGCGCAATTAAAAGATTTTTAATTACATTAAATTATGCATACCGTTGTGCATGCGACGATAAGAAATTTGAAGAAAGTACTCTCAATCCAATCAGTTGTTTATATAATCGGTGTTTGCGATCTCTGCGAGAAAATGTAAATATCTCATGGATGAACTACGTGGAGGAATCGCGAAATAACGTTATTTATAGGAGGTACAGCTTCGACTTATTTGACGAGAAGGAATAATTCATTCTATTGCATATCCAAGCGAGGTGCAGTATCGATCTACCATTCACGACAGTCGCGAGGGAGCAATAATTCAGGAAAAATTAATAAAGTACACAAGCGATTGAAATTTCCGCTTCAATCGTTCTGATACAATTGAAATATGGCGCGTTAATTGCTCCGACTACAACCAGACGAAATTAATCACAGAGCGAGAACGATTCTTCTTTACCTTTGACATCTCATCCATCGATCCGATGAAATATTTTCGTAAAATATTAATAAAGAAAAGATTGAGCCAAAAGATTTAATCACATGTTTTCAGGGAAATATGACATGACGCCAAGAACGTTATATTCAATCAATGATGTTGTGAATTGAGCTAATTGTAAATAGAATAAAATTGATTCTCTAATCTCTCTCTCAATGTGTTCATTAA